TGTGTGTGGCTGTGGGGTGTTTTTGGGGTGTCTGTGGGGTGTTTATGTGGCTGTGAGGTGTTTTTGGGGTGTCTGTGGGGTGTTTTTGGGGTGTCTTGGGGTGTGACCCATCCCTCCTCCCCGGCAGCGCTGGCCGGAGGGGCAGAGGGCCAAGGCTGGAGCGGTGCCCGTGCAGAGCTCCAGGCTCAGCATCAATAATTAATCATTTCCTGAGGGGTATTAATCAAGGCCTCGTGCATCATTCATGGCCAGCGGTGCAGGGGGAGCTCGGCCCCGCTGCCCTGCGGGATCTGACATCTCCCAGCCCCTTCCCAAAGGAAACCCGAGCTCCTCTCTCAGCACAGAACCTGCGCTGTCTCCCCAGAAAAGGTTTTCCCGGGAGTTTGGGGTCACCCGCACCCCTCGGAGTGCTCCTGGCTCGGGATTCAGCTCCCACACACTGGGGGGGCTCCCACGAGGGTCAGGAGCACCCTTGGGTGCTCTCCAGGTGTGAGATTTTAGGGACACATCTGAGGGGAAATTTGGGATTTCCCCCTCAACCAGGTTTCCTTCTGGCCCCTTCCCACATCCCATCCCTGCTGCCAACCCCCATCCCCATCCCAGCCCAGCTCCACACCCCACACAAGCTCCCATTCTGCTGGGATTACTGGGACTGGGTTGTGCTGGGATTACTGGGACTGGGTTCTGGGATTACTGGGACTGGGTTCTGGGGTTCCTGGGACACTGGGGTTCCTGGGACACCGGGTTCTGGGGTTCCTGGGACACTGGGATTCCTGGGACACTGGGTTCTGGGGTTCCTGGGACACTGGGTTGTGCTGGGGTTCCTGGGACACTGGGTTCTGGGATTCCCGGTGTTCAGCCCCGGAATGCTCCAGTCCATGTGTTGACAAAGGCTGAGGGACACGATGGAATAGGACAGGGTTGCCCCTCTCTCGTTCATTTCATGGTTGGGGGCAGAGCCCCCCTGCCCAGGGCTGCTGGAGGGGACAAAGCCCATCAGGAAAGGAAAGAGCGGATTGCAGCTGTGCCCTTTCCCTGCCTCAGTTTCCCCCCTCGGCAAGGAGAGGAGCATCAGCCCTGAATCACTGAGCTCTGGTGACACCGGCGCTGCTGCCTCCATTGCCACCGGCGCCTTCTCCCGGTGAGCGGAGACCAAAGCTCGGCGTGCCCCATCTCCCACTGCAAGGGTGGGATTTGGGGATTTCCTGGTTGTAACTGGTTTTTATCCACCAGAGGAGGGCGGTTTTTCCATGGAGGGACATTCCTGGCTGCAGCAGCCACCCGGCATTCCCCAATCCCAGGAGAGGGGAGCCAGCGTCCCTCTGCCGCCTGAAATTCCCGAAGGAAGGGGGTGAAGGGCCTCCCTTTGTGCAGGGTCCCCATCCTGCCTGCTGCTGCCTGGATCTCTCCAACCCTGGGGCTGAGCCAGGCTGGGAATGGGGAATGGGGATCTCATCCCATTTCCTGTGGATCACCCACATCCCACTGGGAACCGGGGCCCTGGAGTGGGGGCTCTGGGCTGGCTTTGGGGGCCCCACAGGAGAGGGGCAGATTCCTCCAGCAGCCATCAGAACAAAGCCCGAGCCATGTGCTGTGTTTGGAGGGAGCCCCAGCACGAGGAGCAGGATCCCAGCCCTGTCCCTGCCTGGGGTGAGCCCTGCCCCGGGCTTTGGGGATGCTCGGGAGGTGTCACCCCGCTGCACCGACAGATTTTTCTCCCTGCTAATTACAGAAACACCTTTTCCCCCAAAAAATGCAGAGGTCAGAGACCCAACAGAAATACAGGATGGAAAGGCAGAGAGCAACCTTAGAGAGGACTTGGATCAGCTCAAGTCTTTAATTAGAAAAATAGACACAAATTTGAAATATTCCTGATAGAGGCCTTTTGTTTTTACAAACAGAATGATGACGGTGATGATGATGATGACGGTGATGATGATGATGACGGTGATGATGATGATGATGATGATGATAGTATTGAAATCACCTCTCCCAAGGGCCTGTTAGCACCGGTTGCCGCAGCCCGGTGGTGTCTCTCTCCCGTGCCGGCCGGGAAATCTCCAGCCGGGAGCATCCTGCCAAGGGAAAGCGCAGCCCGGCCTCTACGAACGCCGAGCGCCCACAGAAGCCACCTCGGTGGCGATTTCTGTCTGTACACGGCTTTTCCGCCGCCCTCCTCGCAACGGGAGCCGGTCCCGGCGGTTCGGAGGCGGCTCCGCATCCCATCCCCGCAGGGAGCGGCCCGGGCCCGGCTCGGCCCCAGCGCCTCCCTCCTCACCCGGGAGGGAACTCCCGGCCCGGCTCTCCCCTGAGAGAACCTGGGGCACCTCGGGAAACGCCGCAGCGCTCAGGCCGGGGCTTCAGAGCGGCCCGAAGGAGAGCCCCACCGAGAAGAACCCCAAGCCCTTGAGCTTCTCCTCGCTCCGGGCTTTCTGCTTGAGGTGCACTTTGCTGTGCCGCTTCTTCTCGTCGCTGCGGGCGAAGCGGCGGCCGCAGGTGTCGCAGGAGAAGGGTTTCTCGCCCGTGTGGGTGCGGATGTGCGTGGTGAGGTGGTCGCTGCGGCTGAAGTTGCGCAGGCAGATGCGGCACTGGAAGGGTTTGTGGCCCGTGTGGATGCGCAGGTGCCGGTTGAGCTCGTCGGAGCGGGCGAAGCTCCGGATGCAGTTCTCCACCGGGCAGGCGAACGCCTTCTCGTGGGGCTTGGGGCAGAAGCACTTGGAGGAGCATTTGCTCCGGCGCGTCTTCTTCTTGGGCTCGGCCAGGGCCGGAGGGTTGGGGGGCAGCAGCGAGGGGAGCGACGAGGACGCGGGGTGGCCCAGAAAGTCCGTGGGGGGGACGGAAGGAGAGGGGTGAGGATGGAGGAGCTCGGCGGAGCTCATCAGGCCCGGCAGGACCTCGGGCTGGGCCAGGGAGGAGTCGAAGTCCGGCATCAAGGGCGCGGGGATGCTGTGGATCTTGGCGTCGGCCAAGTCCCCGCGGGCCGGGAAGTTTTCTGGCTCGCAGCCGAAGGCCAGCTGGGTTCCGAAGCAGGCGGACTCCTCTGCCAGGCTGCCGAGCTCCGGCTGGCAGCCGCCGCCCAGGACGCTCTCCACCTTGGAGCCCAGCGGGGGAAACAGCCCCTGGCCGCTGTCGGCCGCAGCGAAGCCCTCGGCAGAGGGGAAGAAGGCCTGGTGCTGCTGGGAGATGGGATCCCACTGGCCACAGGAGGCCTTGAACTTGTCCAGGGCCGCGGAGCCGGAGGACAGCTTGATGTCCTGCTTGCCGTCCAGCAGCTTGGGCTGGAAGAAGCACTGGGAGCCGGTGGCCAGCCCGGGCTGTGCCGGCAGGGGCTGAGCGCCCTCGGCCGCGGGGAAGGCT